ACAGACAGATCACTACCGTAAGACAGACAGACAGATCACTAGCGTAAGACAGACAGACAGACAGACAGATCACTAGCGTAAGACAGACAGACAGACAGACAGATCACTACAGAAATAGAGATCAACACGACAGTCACACAAAACACCTCAAAGATCAACACAAACATACCCTGAACCACAGGTACCGTAAAATAACATACCCTGAACCACAGGTACCGTAAAATAACATACCCTGAAACACAGGTACCGTAAAATAACATACCCTGAACCACAGGTACCGTAAAATAACATACCCTGAACCACAGGTACCGTAAAATAACATACCCTGAACCACAGGTACCGTAAAATAACATACCCTGAACCACAGGTACCGTAAAATAACATACACTGAACCACAGGTACCGTAAAATAACATACCCTGAACCACAGGTACCGTAAAATAACATACCCTGAACCACAGGTACCGTAAAATAACATACACTGAACCACAGGTACCGTAAAATAACATACCCTGAACCACAGGTACCGTAAAATAACATACCCTGAACCACAGGTACCGTAAAATAACATACCCTGAACCACAGGTACCGTAAAAATAACATACCCTGAACCACAGGTACCGTAAAATAACATACCCTGAACCACAGGTACCGTAAAATAACATACCCTGAACCACAGGTACCGTAAAATAACATACCCTGAACCACAGGTACCGTAAAATAACATACCCTGAACCACAGGTACCGTAAAATAACATACCCTGAACCACAGGTACCGTAAAATAACATACCCTGAACCACAGGTACCGTAAAATAACATACCCTGAACCACGGTACCGTAAAAATAACATACCCTGAACCACAGGTACCGTAAAATAACATACCCTGAACCACAGGTACCGTAAAATAACATACCCTGAACCACAGGTACCGTAAAATAACATACACTGAACCACAGGGACCGTAAAATAACATACCCTGAACCACAGGTACCGTAAAATAACATACACTGAACCACAGGTACCGTAAAAATAACATACCCTGAACCACAGGTACCGTAAAATAACATACACTGAACCACAGGTACCGTACAATAACATACCCTGAACCACAGGTACCGTAAAATAACATACCCTGAACCACAGGTACCGTAAAATAACATACACTGAACCACAGGTACCGTAAAATAACATACCCTGAACCACAGGTACCGTAAAATAACATACACTGAACCACAGGTACCGTAAAATAACATACCCTGAACCACAGGTACCGTAAAATAACATACACTGAACCACAGGTACCGTAAAATAACATACCCTGAACCACAGGTACCGTAAAATAACATACCCTGAACCACAGGTACCGTAAAATAACATACCCTGAACCACAGGTACCGTAAAATAACATACCCTGAACCACAGGTACCGTAAAATAACATACCCTGAACCACAGGTACCATAAAATAAAATACCCTGAACCACAGGTACCGTAAAATAACATACCATGAACCACAGGTACCGTAAAATAACATACCCTGAACCACAGGTACCGTAAAATAACATACCCTGAACCACAGGTACCGTAAAATAACATACCCTGAACCACAGGTAACGTAAAATAACATACCCTGAACCACAGGTAACGTAAAATAACATACCCTGAACCACAGGTACCGTAAAATAACATACCCTGAACCACAGGTAACGTAAAATAACATACCCTGAACCACAGGTACCGTATAAAATAAAACAAGTGTTCAACCAATAGCTAATCTCCTCTCGAGGCACTTCTACTAAGCTTCAGTCACTAAGACCTTGTGGAATGTGAATATGAATCACGACGGCTAGGAATCACTAAGCTTATGTTAGCAACGGTCATCAAAATTGTTAAAATGTTTTTTAAAACAATTCTAATAAATGCAACAGTTGGACAATGGATGAAGATCCTCCAAACGTTTACAATGTTTATAGTCCATCAGATATCGACTTGATTATAGAACATACAATATTTTACTGGCACGGACAACGTGTACAAATAATGAATGGAGTTCAGGGATTTTGATGGGGGATTCAGGCATTCAATTTATTGACAAATTTCACTTTTTTTATTCTTTGAATGCACTCATATACATTTTGTAATGATATCAGGCATTTCAAAAAATATATGTTGTGTTCAATAAAATTACATGGGCCCTAATTTGCATAAATACACTGGCTGAATAAATTAACATAAAGGGGTGGAACAGGGCCGCAACCACCAACAACTTGATCGGTCTAGGCCTACCTGCACTCACCTGCACTGTCTAGACTGGCTCATTAATGACTGTTTCTGTTGCATAATTCAACCAGTGTGTCAATAGCAGGATACCCTCAGATTAAAAAATCAACAGCTTGGCTCTAGATTACATTTTACATTTTTTTACATTTTTAGTCATTTAGCAGACACTCTTATCCAGAGCGACTTACACCTCTATACATACTCTACATTGTCTTGATCAGACATAATATCACTATAACCTGAGCGTTCATTTTGGGGAAGTTGCTTTCATTTCAGCGCATCTAAATCTGTTGAAATAAGCAGGAATTATCCCACTCACCCAGCTGTGACCATCTCATTTGGAAACATTTAAACTGTATTCTAATTTTATTTGACCAGGTAAATTGACGACCCGGGGAATAGTTACAGGGGAGAGTATCACTTTTTTCAATTCCACAAAAAAATGAACACCCCATCAAAATAAAGTTAGATATCTTCTCTTTTTTGTGATGTAAGTGTCGAGACGATGCATTTAATCCATGACGAAGTGTTCTTATAGATTGTTATGATGAGTTTCTAGGGTATCAAGTACTTAAGAATGTAAGAATAGATTTAGACACTTAGCTGGGGAATTCATATAAGATATTTAATATGGTACCATGGTTGGGTATAACAGACGAAGGACATGGCCCTGCCTCTACCGTCTTCCAACTCCAGAACAAAGAGCCACTCTCTCTATATATATACACTCTGTTACACGTCTCTCTCTATATATATACACTCTGTTACAAGTCTCTCTCTATATATACACTCTGTTACAAGTCTCTCTCTATATATACACTCTGTTACAAGTCTCTCTCTATATATACACTCTGTTACAAGTCTCTCTCTATATATACACTCTGTTACAAGTCTCTCTCTATATATACACTCTGTTACAAGTCTCTCTCTATATATACACTCTGTTACAAGTCTCTCTCTATATATACACTCTGTTACAAGTCTCTCTCTATATATACACTCTGTTACAAGTCTCTCTCTATATATACACTCTGTTACAAGTCTCTCTCTATATATACACTCTGTTACACGTCTCTCTCTATATATACACTCTGTTACACGTCTCTCTCTATATATACACTCTGTTACACGTCTCTCTCTATATATACACTCTGTTACAAGTCTCTCTCTATATATACACTCTGTTACACGTCTCTCTCTATATATACACTCTGTTACACGTCTCTCTCTATATATACACTCTGTTACAAGTCTCTCTCTATATATACACTCTGTTACAAGTCTCTCTCTATATATACACTCTGTTACAAGTCTCTCTCTATATATACACTCTGTTACACGTCTCTCTCTATATATACACTCTGTTACACGTCTCTCTCTATATATACACTCTGTTACAAGTCTCTCTCTATATATACACTCTGTTACAAGTCTCTCTCTATATATACACTCTGTTACAAGTCTCTTCACGAACATCTGGTAAACCTCCATGGGCACTCCCTTTCTTTGATGTTATTACCCTTTACCCCAAGTCATATATCCTGTCCATCAATTATTCTAAGATCAACATCAGCAATCTACTCTGACATAACGGAATGCAGACTCTGTGACACCAAACCACTTATCTACCAACTCTCCCCTGGTCCACACAATACTATGACACGACATGACATCATTACATTACATTACATTACATACCCATTTCAGCCGTTACAGGGGTGTGTTTGACAGGTCATTACAAAAATTTCCGCAGTCTTAATGTTAACGGGGGGAAAACGACAGGCACAAACAAGAGTATGAAAGAGTCACAGGAGTAAAACGAAAGTAACCAATCCAGCGAGATTGAGTGACAAGTGGATGTTGCACCCCTCATAGAGATAGATGGCTGAAAAAAAACCTGATACTCAGTTGGGTGGGGCATGCACATTGCTAAGCTTACGTAATACACCATCCTTCAAAGACCTCATTCTCCCGAAACTGTAAACTGAGGGTCCAGTGTTTCTGACAAACTGGGAGAGACGGTCCACCCCCAGCCAACCCACAGAGAGAGAGGGGTGGTCATACGATACACAACACTTGTCCACCCCACCAAGACTTGATCAGAGGCCCTATCCTGTTACCTCCACCACCACTATATGTGCTCTGTCATGCTAGTGTCCCCAACAACAGCCCATTGATAGAGACCGTCATTGTTCTCTGGTTACAACCTGTTATGATGAAATGACTCCCTATGGGGTTGGTTGACTACCTTGAAATGGAGCTGCCAGTGACTCGCTTCAGAATCTACTGAAATGCTTCAGAATCTGAATGGATTCATCTGAATCTCAGTGGCTCTAGTCTAACCTAACCCCCATACCTGCAGTCAGAATGAATCTATGCATGGGATTCTCAGAATGAATCTATGCATGGGATTCTCAGAATGAATCTATGAATGGGATTCTCAGAATGAATCTATGAATGGGATTCTCAGAATGAATCTATGCATGGGATTCTCAGAATGAATCTATGAATGGGATTCTCCGTGGCTCTCTCCACCGCTCACCTGCAGTCAGGTGAGGGCACCAGGTGTTTGGGTTGACTGCCAGAAACCTCGTGAGCTGGTTCTATTGTTTGATGTGCTGTTATGCAACTGACTCTCGATGTATGGAGTTGACTCCTCCCCGGATATGGATCTTCTGACTCTTTCAAATGATTCTGTATCAGTAGAATGAATTGAGTGACTCAGTGGCTCGACCTGCAGTCAGGTGCAGGACACCAGCGTGTGTCCGGGTCGGCGGGCAGAAACCTCCTCAGCTGATGCTCCTCCAGTATCTCCAGCAGCGCCGAGTCATCCAGGATGGCCCTTACGTCAGGCGGCGCCAGCGCCTCGGGGCACAGAGGACAGGCCACGCCCCCACACGGCTCTCTGAGATCTCGATGCTGTGCCAGGCAGTCATAACAGGCCCGGTGGGAACCGGCATCGTGGTTGGCTGAGGAGACACAGAGGACACTCCTCCGAGTGGTGATTGGCTGGAGGAGGAGAGGGATAGGACCCCTGTGGAACTGCAGTTGGCTGCAGAAATTCTGCCGCCGTTGTGGCTCCGCCTTCGTCGTCTGTCGTCCCCGATGATGCCTCCCCGATGTCGCCTCCTTCGGTTCCTCCGACCCCCCCGACCCCCCCCGAGTCTCTGCCCTCTTCGGTTGTGATGTTCTGCTCCTGTGGGATGGGAGGAAGGGTAGCATTAATGTCTAGAGTTTGATTTGGTCTTGCTTAGGCCAGAAAGTTCCCTTCTTTCTTTTCTCTTGAGCGTGCCGTCTTTAGCCAACTCTCTTACTATCTCTCTCAGAATGACCTTCTTGATCCAAACCAGTCAGGTTTCAAGACTGGTCATTCAACTGAGACTGCTCTTCTCTGTGTCACGGAGGCTCTCCGCACTGCTAACGCTAACTCTCTCTCATCTGCTCTTATCCTTCTAGACCTGTCTGCTGCCTTTGATACTGTGAACCATCAGATCCTACTCTCCACCCTCTTCCGAGCTGGGCATTTCCGGCGCGGCTCACTCTTGGATTGCGTCCTACCTGACCGGTCGCTCCTACCAAGTGGCGTGGCGAGAATATGTCTCCGCACCACGTGCTCTCACCACTGGTGTCCCCCAGGGCTCAGTTCTAGGCCCTCTCCTATTCTCACTATAAACCAAGTCACTTGGCTCTGTCATATCCTCACATGGCCTCTCCTATCATTGCTACGCAGACGACACACAACTAATCTTCTCCTTTCCCCCTTCTGATTACCAGGTGGCGAATCGCATCTCTGCATGTCTGGCAGACATATCAGTGTGGATGAAGGATCACCACCTCAAGCTGAACCTCGGCAAGACGGAGCTGCTCTTCCTCCCGGGGAAGGACTGCCCATTACATGATCTCGCCATCACGGTTGACAACTCCGTTGTGTCCTCCTCCCAGAGTGCGATGAGCCTTGGCGTGACCCTGGACAACACCCTGTCGTTCTCCGCTAACATCAAGGCGGTGACCCGATCCTGTAGGTTCATGCTCTACAACATTCGGAGAGTACGACTCTGCCTTACACAGGAAGCGGCACAGGTCCTAATCCAGGCACTTGTCATCTCCCGTCTGGATTACTGCAACTTGCTGTTGGCTGGGCTCCCTGCCTGTGCCATTAAACCCCTACAACTCATCCAGAATGCCGCAGCCCGTCTCGTGTTCAACCTTCCCAAGTTCTCTCACGTCACTCCGCTCCTCCGCACACTCCACTGGCTTCCAGTCGAAGCTCGCATCTGCTACAAGACCATGGTGCTTGCCTACGGAGCTGTGAGGGGAAGGGCATCCCACTGGCTATAAGGTGAATGCACCAATTTGTAAGTCGCTCTGGATAAGAGCATCTGCTAAATGCCGAAAATGTAAATATGTAAGAACTGCAATGCTGTTGGGTTTTTCACGCTAAACTGTTTCTTGTTTGTATCAAGAATGGTCCACCACCCAAAGGACATCCAGCCAACTTGACACAACTTTGGGAAGCATTGGAGTGCAACTCCATATTAGGCAGACATTTCTAATGTTTGGTATTCTCATTGATGCCTGGCAAGCACATAAGCCACAAGCAAACAAGTACACTATCTACTCAAACAGGCATAAAACATTCCCCTGAATCGATTTTATATTATTATCTACACCTCTATTTTCTAAAATTATTCGACATTATGAGCTTTTCCGATCACCACTCCTACTACTGCCAATTACACATTTTAGAATCTCCTAAAAAGAGCCACAAGATGGCGTTTCAACTTTTCAATACTACAAAATCCTACATTCTGTGATCAATTTGAAATTGAACTAAATTAATTAATGATCAATACAAATTCTGTCAATGACCTCCGGATTCTATGGGATGCCACCAAAGGTTTTATAAAAAAAATAAATGGAACTGCATTTGCATCTGGGTTGAATAAAATGACAATTAAAGATATGAGAATTGGGGGGGGGGGTTCTGTGGAATTATTTAAGACTGTTATGGAGAGGTCTTGGAGACGGCAGGTCTGCCCCATGAGGAAGAGCAGCTCCGTTTTGTCGAGGTTGAGCTTGAGGTGGTGGGCCGACATCCAAGCTGAGATATCTGCCAGGCACGCAGAGATGCGTGTCACCACCTGGGTGTCAGAAGGGGGGAAGGAGAAAAGTAGTTGATTGTCATCCGCATAGCAATGATAAGAGAGACCATGTGAGGATATGACAGAGCCGAGTGACTTGGTGTATAGAGAGAAGAGGAGAGGGCCTAGAACCGAGCCCTGGGGGACACCAGTAGTGAGAGTACGTGGTGCAGACACAGATCCTCTCCATGTCACCTGGTAGGAGTGGCCTGACAGGTAGGATGCAATCCAAGAGTGTGCAAAGCCTGAGACGCCCAGGCCTGAGAGGGTGGAGAGGAGGATCAGCCCTGAGAGGGTGGAGAGGAGGATCAGCCCTGAGAGGGTGGAGAGGAGGATCAGCCCTGAGAGGGTGGAGAGGAGGATCAGCCCTGAGAGGGTGGAGAGGAGGATCAGCCCTGAGAGGGTGGAGAGGAGGATCAGCCCTGAGAGGGTGGAGAGGAGGATCAGCCCTGAGAGGGTGGAGAGGAAGTTCAGCCCTGAGAGGGTGGAGAGGAGGATCAGCCCTGAGAGGGTGGAGAGGAGGATCAGCCCTGAGAGGGTGGAGAGGAGGATCAGCCCTGAGAGGGTGGAAAGGAGAGGTGTCGAAGTCAGGTGTCGAAGGCAGCAGATAGATCTAGGAGGATGAAAACAGAGGAGAGAGTCAGCTTTGGCAGAGCAGAGAGCCTCCGTGGAGAAGAGCAGTCTCGGATGTGTGACCCGTCTTGAAGCCTGACTGGTTAGGGTCAAGAAGATATTTCTGAGAGAGATAGCAAGAGAGTTGGTTATAGACAGCACACTCAAGTGTTTTGGAAATAAAAGAAAGAAGGGATACTGGTCTGTAGTTTTTTTTTTTTTTTACGTCAGAGGGGTCGAGTGTTGGTTTTGTTGAGGAGGGGAGCGACTCTGTCCATTTTGAAGTCAGAGGGGACACAGCCATTGGTCAGGGATGAATTGATGAAGGAAGTGAGGAATGGGATTGAAAATGGGAAAGAGATTGTCTGGAAAAGGGAGGAAGGGACCTTACTAGTTGAAGGATTTCATCTGAAGAGAGAGGGGAGAAAGAGGTCAAGGCGTAGGGTAGTTCTGTGTGAGTGGGACCAGTGTACTGAATAGGCTGAGTGAATGAGAAGCGGATGTCGTCAACCTTCTTTTCAAAGTGGTTGACAAAGTCGTCCGCAGAGAGGGAGGAGGGAGGGGGTGGAGGATTAAGGAGGGAGGCAAAGGTGGAAAATAGTTTCCTAGGGTTAGAGGCAGAAGCTTGTAGAGTGATAGAAAGTGGCTTTAGCAGTGGATACAGAGGAAGAGAAGGTAGAGAGGAGGGAGTGAAAGGATGATGGGTCCTCTGGAAGTTTAGTTTTCCTCCATTTTCGCTCAGCTGCCCGCAGCCCTGTTCCAACCAGTGTGTTGTCAGTAAAACCAGCGAGTCAGCAGCATTCCCTCCAGCACATAATCAGTGGAGCAAAGTATTTGGCTGGAGTTCTTACCTTTGACATGGCCCCTGCTAAAGTAAATCACTCTAATCTCTCACTTCCTGCCAATACAGGTGTGTGGCCAAAACACCACCTTATTCACTACATAGCAGAGATGATTAGAAGAAGTAGGAAGCCATCCATCGCCATTACATTTTAGTCATTTAGCAGACGCTCTTAACCAGAGTGACTTACAGTTTGTGAGTGCATACATTATTGTTTATTTTTTTATACTGGCCCCCAGTGGGAATCGAACCCACAACCCTGGCGTTGCAAACGCCATGCTCTACCAACTGAGCTACATCCCTGCAGGCCATTCCCTCCCATACCCTGGGCCAATTGTGCGCCGCCCCATGGGTCTCCCGGTCAGCTACGACAGAGCCTGGATTCGAACCAGGATCTCTAGTGGCACAGCTAGCACTGCGATGCAGTGCCTTAGACCACTGCGCCACTCGGGAGGCCTTAACACCATCACCTTGTTATTGTGCAACAGTAATGAAGCCAATGGGCCTGGTCTAAGATCATAAGGTATAACACAGATATACTGAATTTCACCCCCAAAAATCCTGCCTGCATTCATCACACACACACACACACACACACACACACACACACACACACACACACACACACACACACAGAGAAACACACACACACACACACACAAACACACACACACACAGAAACACACACACACACACACACACACACAGAAACACACACACACACACACACAGAAACACACACACACACACACACAAACAGTTGACTCGCTGGGTTAAATAGAAATTAGTTTGTTTGCTGAAAACATTTACAGTCTGGAAACCAACCAGGAGAAATAAGCCATGATAAGTAAATCGGCCTGTCTTACAGTTTTTTACAATCACTTTGGCACTAATTTCAGAACCTTGACGTCATTTTTCAAAACTCTAGACACAAAACTCAAAACGGTCGTCACTTGTAACACAGGCTGTCCAATGTTCAAAACATTGCATTGTGCGTTCATATCTTTAAAGAAATATTGCACTTGCACAATCATTGGTTCAAAAAACAAATGTATTGTGAAATACCAATGAAACGTTAATTTAGATCACCCACACACAAGCAACCGATAGTTTCACTGTGTAATTGTTCGTACAATCATTAAATATTGTAGTACAAAATAGGTGATACATGTTTCATTATGGTACTACATGTAAATACATCCCTGTAAAAGTACTGCAGTAGTAGAGAGAATACTACAGACACAGTGGAATCATTGAACAAAATCTGAAATATATTGATGAAAAACAATACAGTACTGTAAAACATCAAATGCAGTGTTCCTCAACTTGCTTGCTTGTACTGTAAAAAGCAAAACATAGGAGTGATTACTGTACTTCTACATTTTCATCAACTCTGTCTTGTGGATTTGGCCACAGGTTCTCATCTACATCACAATGGATGTTTTCATTAGCCAAACATCTTGGTAAAAACGTTGAGCATGGCGAATCCAGGCCTGACACTGGTCTGCCGTGATGTCATTGCATGCGTCATCCATGGCCTGGAGAAGAGTGACTTGTTCATGAGGGCGCCTATCATAAACCTTCCATCTCCATGTGGAGAAAAATTCCTCAATCGGGTTAAGGAAAGGAGAGTATGGGGGTAAATACAGGGTGGTAAATTGTGCATGGGCCTGAAACCATGCTTGCACCATATGAGCATGGTGGAACCTGACATTATCCCACACAATGACATAGGTCACGCCACCATCTCTACAGACCTGATCGAGCTCATCAAGGAAGGTTACAAGGAGAGCTGCATTATATGATCCAATACGAGGTCTGCGTCGCACCACACCATCTTCTGATACAGCCGCACACATGGTAATGTTGGCCCCACGTTGTCCAGGTACTTGGATGGTTGCCCGCTGGCCAATGAAATTCCGACCTCTCCTCCTTGTCTTGGCCAGGTTAAAGCCTGCCTCATCCAAATATTTGAATTTGTGATGGTTGTCATCAGCATCCAGCTCCATCACCCTCTAAAAATACATTTTGGAAAGAGATTTACTGATTACTGTACAATGTAGAATTATTAGGGAATTTTATTACAACAGCCATCTTGAAACTGAACATACTCAGTCCTCATTTGCTTCACTCTGTCTGCATTTCTTTCAAAAGGCACACGGTATAGTTGTTTTAAAGACACCTGGTGCCTTTTCAGCATGCGTACAATAGTCGGCAAACTTATGGATTCCACATTGTTAAACATGTCTTCATTGTCCAAGATATGCTGGCGAATTTCTGTAAGGCGAATATCATTACAGGCCCGAAACAAATCGACCACAGCCTGCTCTTGTTGGTCAGTCAGAATTTTGCCTCTGCCTCCCCTATTTGGCCTAGTCTCAATTCTACAGGGAACATTACAGTAAGAAGACACTTGGTCACATCACCTACTCTGTGATACACATTGGTATGCAGTCATTTGACAATTGAGAGTAGCATAATGTTTAGTGCATGCTGACGACTTACCGGTTCTCATTGCAGAAAGTTCTGATTATTGAGGCCACGGTTGACCTTCTGAGGTTTGGTTGTACCATTGTAGCCGCCTCAGTCATTGTCATGCCATGATTTATGACATGGTCTACAACTATTGCTCGGATTTCATTGGACACTCTATGCTGTTGCTGCCGCTGTCTTGGTCCGTGGCCTTGTCCTCTACCACGTTCCCCCACACCTCTCAAACGAGGCCCACGACCACCTCTTAGAAGGGGTGCTTGTCCCCTGCCATTCTTTTGACCAACACGTCTTCCTCGTCTTCCTCCCACCACTGCTTGACCTCTATTGTGACCTGGATCACCTGCCGGCTCCATGTTACAGTACGTATCGCTATGTTGTTGCAAGTGGATCCCAATCAATTCCAGTTCCACAATGTGAACTCAATCATCAGTAACAAGTTGGCAGAATTGGACAAGCAATTACAAGGGCCTGCATCCATACAGTGCAGTACTGTCAATACTGTAAATAGTCTGAAAAGGTGGTACATGGGACCATAGAAACGGTGTCTGATAAAGAATGATGATGAAATATTACATCCATAGATAATGTAGTCTAATTGGTTCATGCTCCACGCTAATTGGTGACAATGAATCTTGTTATCTTGAAACTTTCATGATCTAAACATGGAATATTGTTTGTCTGTTTCCATACAACTATGCATTAAGAGTAATGCAACAGTTACTTATCATTTTGAGCAGTTGTATCAATTGATAGTTGGATAATTGTAATGAAATGAATAGACACTCATCTGAAATGTAATGTGTGAATTTCCTTTTGAAATAGTAGTACTTTGATGTTAAGTTGTGTCATATTGAACAGGTGATTTTTGTTAAATGAACAAATGATCTTAGTTTTATGTGTATTGTATCCAAGCAATTGAAAAAAGTGTTAGAGTTCTGAAAAATGTGCATTTTGATCATTGGTTGTGAGTTTTGTGTCTAGAGTTTTGAAAAATGACGTCAAGTTTTTGAAATTAGTGCCAAAGTGATTGTAAAAAACTGTAATAAGCCAAGGGGAGGGCCATTAACTCCCTCTGTCATAACGCTTTTAAAAACTCACATTATTTGTATTTCAATGACACTTTACTTTCGTGTGCTCTTCCTAACCCCATACGCCCATAAAATGGAGGTGTGATGTTATGCTTACGCCTCTGTAGCTGTGAGAGTGATACTGGGGGTATGACATTTGACCTCCAGCAGAAAAGGCATGAGACCATGAGACTTTATGAAGTGTGCAGTGCTATCACCCCAGAGAAACCCTTCTCTACACTGCAGTTATGTAATAAAGCAAACACGTTGCACACTGCAGATGGAAATATGATACAGTAGACTAACATTATTGTCAGATAACAGATGGGGTCTATGTCTGAAATGGCACCCTATTCCCTACATAGTGCACTACTTTTGACCAGGGCCTATGAGACTCTGGTCAAAAGTAGTGCACTATGTAGGGAATAGGGTGCCATTTTGGGACACAAAAATAGTGTTAGTATTAGACATACAGTACATGGATAGTCATTACATCCTCACTAACTGATTCACATCATAGAAGATGTATTAAACTATAAATCACTTCGATAAACAAAATTGTTCTTCTGGCTGAGTGCATCATTCCATCTCCATTGGCATTTCAGGCCATGCAATGTTTTACGAGGCTTTGGGCACTAGCTTTAATGATGGCCCATGTCATGATAATGACAGATGGGTTATTACATAACAAGCAACTGTCCAAAATTTGTTCAACCCCTTTTTGTTAAAGTGGCACGACAAAACTGCTGAGGTCGTTAAAGGCATTGCCTGTTAAAATGCTGCATCTTATCAAGGCTTTAGGTAGACACAAGGAAGCACATTAGATGTGCAGGACAACAGTATGTTGATGGCTGTAGATTCGTGATTCATCCATTAGCATGAAAATAACTATGAATTAACAGGGAGCTAATGCGACCATTATAATTTGAGCATCCTAGCTAACTCGGTCTTACAGCAATAACATACAAAAGCACATCCCAGGATGCCCCCAATATCTCCAGGTACTGTACACACATACACTGTGTATACCAAACATTAAGAATACTTTCTTAATATTGAGTTGCACCCCCCCTTTTGCCCTCAGAACAGCCTCAATTCGTCGGGGCATGGACTATACAAGGTGTTGAAAGCGTTCCACAGGGATGCTGGCCCATGTTGACTCCAATGCTTTCCACAGTTGTGTGCTTTCCACAGTTGTGTCAAGTTGGCTGGATGTCCTTTGGGTGGTGGACCATTCTTGAAACACACAGGAAACTGTTGAGCGTGAAAAACCCAGCAGCGTTGCAGTTCTTGACACAAACCGGTGTGCCTGGCACCTACTACCATACCCTGTTCAAAGGCACTTAAATATTTTGTCTTGCCCATTCACCCTCTTGACAATTCATGTCTCAAGGCTTTAAAATAATTATTTAACCTGTCTCCTCCCCTTAATGTATGTACACTGATAGAAGTGGATTTA